CACACACACACTCACACACTCTGACATCTTTGCTGGTAGCGGACTACACTCACTTCAGGATTGAGCTGTAAATCAGGGAAAACTGACACCGCCGTGGGCAGCTGTTATCAACAATGGATGCAAACTAAAACCTGTTTTTGTGCATTTAATCATTTTGTCTTACAGGCCAGACAGTTCAGAGCTCAGTTTACTCCCTCTTCAGCCTGTTTAAGGTTTCCTACAAGCACAAGTGACCAATCGACTCAGAAAACGAATAATGAGCTGATTGTCGTGTTATTGATTCTACTGAAGCGAAAGTAAGGAGAGGCTACTTTAACTGTCAAATGTCCAGCCTGTCCTAGTGGACTGACCTACAAATGAACTGAAAACAGGAAATCAAGCAAAACTGCATTTTTCTTTCCTTCTGACATACTACTAGTTCACCTGCCTGCCTCCATTCATTCAGTTTCTCCACGATAAGTATGTGAGGCATGTTAACCAGGTAACATAATCAAACTGGGCTCAGGTTGCTTCTGGACAAGACCTCTGTACGTCTCTCTGTCCTTCCCTTTAACATTGTGTGATTGTAACCCTAAAGAGAACTGTAGGAAGCCTCGAGCCTCTCAGCTGATGTTTGATCTGTTTTTAATTTAGAACTGACGTGTTTTATGGCCTTTAGTGTCTTGTAGCGGACCTGCCAGTAGTTGGCTCTCTGTGTGCTGTTAAGAGCTACCGTGTTGTAGCATTAAGCTAGCTAAGAGCTTTTAGAGCCCAGGCCTCTATAGTCCGGTAGCCAGGGAGGACTGTCATTTCGAACCATTTTCTCTTCCACTGCCTTTCATTAAAGCCACACTAGCGCTATTTCCCCCCACACAGCCCTACAGGCTGTAACTTTGATTCTTGCTTTTCGGGAGTTAGAGATATACATCTTTATTTCTTTAGCTCAAATTCAAAAGCTTTGACACTTTTGGAAAACACCTGATTTGCTTTCCAAGAGGAGGAGATTGATATCAGTCTTTTTATCGAATTCTTGGCTAGAAAGTAATAAGTGTATCTCCCAGTGTTGAACTATTCAATTGATGAGAAATGATCTACCCACTGCCTTTTCCCCCTAAATCTAAATCACTGGACTCCTGATACAATCAGTCAAGTAGTGACTTTTTAAAATGTTATTCCTCCACAATAGGAAGAATGAGGAAACCTGCCCCATTTTTTTGTTTTACTTCAACAGCTGCATCACATCTGTCTGAGCTCTTTCGCGTTGAATCCATCCACATAATTTCTCACCTCAAGCGCCAGTCTCGTACCGTACAGTCTCTCTTTTTCTGTGTTCACATATTACAAATCGGGCATGTATGTCGAATTAAATATTTAAATAAACTTTGTATACATTTTATAGTGAATCAGTTGACAATGGCTGTTTTTTTTTCTTCTTCTCTTGATCAACTTAACAGTCTGTGGTTTGTTTAAGAGCGATAAGTTGCTGCTGTAGGGTTTACACTAGTTGTCTCCTCATGAGGACAGAGGTTAATAGAAACGTGTGAATATTTGGATTCTGATAGGAAAATCTTTTGGTTGTGATGAGTGGGTTTGGAGACAATGTCTGTCTGCCTTTTAAAGATATCTCTGGTAATTTATTTTTGAATAAAATGTTTACCTTAAGAATAAATGATCTATACAATTCTTTCGGCTCCTTTTTCGTCTGTTCTTTTTTGGAGAGACTTTATTTGAACCACATGACCAAGACGCAATGTCTCACATTTCAGTTGTACAGTATTCCTTACACAGCTTTTACATTCAAGCACAGTTCTCTAAACACATTTCCTCGTGTATCACATTTCGTCCATTGCACTCACGCTGCCAACACAAAGCAACGCAGCACATTTCTTAGCAAAGTTATGCAGAGGGTCTTCATTGTAAAATCCATGTGTATCTACTGTGCTAGATTTGGTTTCAGTGTGGACACAATGAAGAGTTACATAGAAACCAAATGCTTTTAATGCACTAACTGTACTTAAAGCTACTACAAGGAGTTTTAACTGGCTATTTCTGTAGAGCTATTCTTAATGCCTGTCAACAGGTTGGATTTGGTCCGATTCCCCTTGAAATCAATGAAATGAGGCTGTGGAAACCCTACCAACATTTGTCCACAGGGGCAGTTCCTAATGCTGCTTTAAAATAGTTTAACAGATAACTGTTATATCAGCAGCTTCAACAAAAATACTAATTTGTCTTTGATGTAAAAAAAAAAATGTACGAGAATATAACTAGATAGAATATACCCAAAAAACAACATTGGCCGTAGACCTACTCTGTCAGCCCTGAGAATTGTAGGTCTTCCCTTCAGTTTGTTTACATAGTAAATAAGTTAAAATGATCATAGAAAAATATACAACACACAATCAAAGAGAACAGCTGGGCAGTAAGACAAGTGTTCAGAGATTTCATTAGGGAAATCAACCCAACATAGTGTAAGGGTAGATGGGAGAAATGGAAATTACACCCTTTGTGCCAACTTCGAATGCACTTCAACCAAAAAGTTCCCACATACACTGCTTAGTGATGTTTTTAAAGGATACATGCAATTCTGAAAGTTGTTTACTGTAATTGATACCAGTGCTTAATTTTGGTGGGAAATGTGAGGTTTAGTGAGCTGGGTGTATAGTCTGGGGATAAGTGTGTTTAATGGTAACTTGAGGTTTATTTTAAGAAATGTGTGTAAACAACGTAGAGAAACTGTCATGGGAAAGCTGAAAAGGAGTAGACGTTTTCTACTTATTTGTTCTCTCAATGTTAAATTGTTACATTTCAGGGCAGTAGTATTAAGAAGAGTTTTCTTTGAGCAGTTTGAGAGTTGCTCAATCAGTGGCCTTGATTCATAAAGAAGTTACTAAGAAAGAAAGAACATTTCTCTGGAACTAACACTGAGGCATTTGTGTCCCTCAGCTAACTTCATTATTCAGTCACATGCAGAGGCAGCACAAGGAAAAGATCAGCGGTGATCAGCTGAGCAACCCAGCCAGTTTATACTGTACGTTCAAGATAACTAAGTAGAGGGCTGCTTGTATCAGCAGAGGGACCTGAAGAAGCCTCTGTGTCCAGATGTTTCATAACACAGTACTCATCTCCGACTGTATCAGCTGAGATGTTTGAGTGGCGAGTTTCCAAAAATGACCAACAGGAGGAGCCAGATTCTTAAAAATACACTGTTTTATTTATCACATAACGGTTTTAAGCTGCAGTATAAGCAACATTTTAATGGTCCAGACTCCCATAGCAACAAAAACAGGGAACAACAGACTAACGTTGTGCTTTCAAACAAACAGGCTGTTATATTGTGTACAACTAGAGCAGACTTAAAAAAAAAAGGGCATCAAAAAAGGACACAACAATGCAAAGAAACAAAATAACAATGACAGGCACAAGGTCTCACTCTGCCCCCGTCGTAATAACATAGCTAACTCAGCGAGGTGGTAAAGTTTGAAAAATATACTAAAAACTACTTGTGATATAAAACTTCCAGGCGAACACGTTTTATGAGAAATGTCACAGGCTCGAGAAAGCCTCCTAATCTCACTCACAATGGCACGTTTCATGTCTGCCGCATCTCTTCTTCTCTTCGTGCGTTCAATCGTGGCAAAATCTCTGTGTGTGTGTTAATCAGGAAGACACAGTAACAGTTAAAACTTCACAATGTGGGCTGAAAAATCTAGACAAAAAATGCGACCTCTGTTCCTATTCGGTGAAATCGAGACAATCTGAAGTATCAGAATGTTTTTCAGAGAAAACCAAACGGACCCACGCCGGTACGACTTCATCTAAAAACTACACGAGCGACAAATACAAAACACGGCTCTCTAATCACAATGATGGTAAGTCGCCCAAAATTTGATCAAAACCTCGTCTTCAGGATTTAGACCGTCCTTACATTCTTTGAGAATTAAACAACTTGCTATGCATAAGTTTACACACACACGCACGCACGCACACATGCACACACACACACACACACACGTTTGATGGGTCATGACCTCCCTTCAAAGTTCATCATTTTCCCATGTTGTCTTTATGTTTTTGGCTTGATCAGAGTTAAAAGCTGCAACAGTCCGGAGTGATGTAACGCTCATGTTTGATGTGCAAACATTTTTTTTTTTTAACAGTCATGTTGAGGATCAGTTCATAAACTGATGGGTTGAATGTAGACGAGCCAAACGCCAGAATCCAAGAGCCTCGTTTATAAAAAGAAAATGTGTTAAGACTTTATTTACACACCCTTAAAACTTTATATGATTTCTAAAGAATGTGAATGTTTAAAGAAAGTGAAAGAAATAGTCATTTTACATAGGATCAAAACATTATCGCATTCCAACATTTTATCATTATTGTCTTTTTTTTTGTGTGTGCAAAAGAACATTTTGTGAACGAGGCTCTGGGATACTCTGTGTGACAGAGGTCGTCATTGACACTGCCTGGGCTCAAGATTTAGGGAAATTTAAAACACACCTTGAAGAATTCCTGCTAAGTCCACTACGACTTTTGGTTTAGATTTGCTTGTTTGATCAATGGCATCGGTTGGAAAATATCACCAAGAAACAGGAAAAGAAAAATTCAGTAACATGTTTTAGCTTATATTTTTCGCCAAAATGGCTGTATGAGACGAGTCTCTACTGTATACTACAGAAGACCGAGGTTCTCTAGTCTTCTATCTCCACTCAGCTGGAGACAGTCGTAGAGGAGTGTGGCTAGTCCAGTTATTGAAAGGTTCTCCCACTAACGGGTAAAGACGGGTAAAGACGGGGAGAGTGTTGGAAGTGGTCTAATCTACATCTACTGAAAGGTCTACTGGAGATTTTAGACCATGGCCCGGAAAGCAAATGAGACTGCGGCACCCAGCGCCAGGCCAAGGGACAAGAAGAAGGCCATGATGGCCCCCGCGGTCTCCGACTCATGCTGTGGCACCTTCCTGTACAGGGACGACAGAGGGACAAAATGCATTAGGAATGAGTGGTTCGCCATTACACACAGTGGTGTTTGTGGTACAGTACAGATATAAAGGAATAGTAACCTTACAGGAAATATGCTTCTTCACTTTCTTTCTGAGAGTTGGATAAAAAGAGGCTGTCACTGATGTTTTATGAGTTTTAGCATTTGTTTTGTATTTGATTACATTTCCTTTTAAGTCTTTGTTCTCTGTGTTTCAGAGCAAGACAAACATCTTGGGGTTAATTGAGTTAAAGTTAAAAGTTGTCCGCTCTCATGTCTGTGCGGCAAGTACGGAGCTGCAGCCCGAAGCCGGTTTTCTTAAAGTGAAGACTGGAAGCAAAGGAAAACAACTAGCCTGACTCGGTCTCAAGTTAACTACTAGCCTACTAGCACCTCTGAAGCTCAGTAATTTACATCTTTTATCTCATTTGTTTCATTTGTACACAAACAAACCCACAAGCTTGTGGTTAGGGGGAGTTAGAAGCTGTGACTATTTAGTGACGATCAATGCTTTATCCATCTACCCAGTACTATGTGCAGCATCTCTGCTGGTTGCCCGGCAACCTCATTATAATACTAGAAATAGTTTCTGCACATAATTCGCTCTAAAACCACAAATTGTTTCTACGTTTCTGTTCATACACGGAGTGTACCTTGAGTTCACTTTGAGTTTTAGAGGTGGTGGGAGGAGTACTTTTCCACTTGCTTCTTTATGCTAAGCTAGGCTAATCTCCTCTGGGCTCCAGCCCTGTACTTCAAACAGGAGTACCAGATTTAGTATTGCACTCCTTTTTGCCATGTTCATGATGGGCAGTTAAATAAAAATAAAAAAATCAGTAGAACCTGAGGTATCGTCTTTTTTTATTCCACATTTTTGTTTAATGTCAAAACTTGGCCCATACATTACCCACAATGCAACTCGACAGCTGATAGTTGTTTTGCTAGTAGCAGCTAATTTATCCTCAGACTTTAATCAGATATTAGGAGCAGGCCTGCAGAGGTTGATTAAGTTCACTTCTTACTAACTCCACAGCCCAGACTATTTTCATTCTTAAACTTCTAATCGTCAGACCAACCAGACGCTGACTTAAGTGACATCGGTTTAGGGAATTTATCAGACAGCGCTCTTTGGAGCCACAATAGGCTTTATACAACTTTTTTCACAAATGCAGTAGAAGACCTGTAAACAGACTCCCAGTTCCCCTTTAATAAACATGAGAGTGGTCTCAATCTTCTAGTCCTCAGAAATGAGACAATGAGTCATCTGCTGAAACTAACACTAGTCAGTCTTCGAGTACACATTTCCTCCAAGTTTACAGTCTGTGTGTTTGTGTGTGTTTGTTTGTTTGTTTGTTTGTTTGTTTGTGTGTGTGTGTTACGTAGATCTGAGCCCCGA